TGTGTAATTTAAGCCTAAGATTGATGTGGAGTATATACTTGGACTTATCACTGGATCTGGACTCGCAGTTTATTGAGTCAGAGGTGATTTGTGTGAAAACGTGTTGTACATTTATGCTTTCTGGCGTTCAGACACATCACTCAGCTGAACTGTAATCCATTACGCCCAGCCGGCTCCATTAAATTAGGCTGAATTGAATTTGCCCGTCTTGTTTTCCTCTCTCTTGTTGATACTTAGTGTTTCCTGTCTGAGATGATCATGCTAGCAATAATGAGAGTTTTTTTTACTTTTTAAATGTACTTTTTGAATGGCAGTGGATTGAATTTTTGCATTACTAAAAAATTACATTTTGCAATATCTTTTAAAGATAAGTATTTTTGTTTTCATTAACATGAGGTTAGTTTCATTACTGTTCAAAAGTGTTTATACTTTTAATCAGCAAGAATGCATTAAATTGATCAAAAGACATTTCTAATAAAGATTTTCATTTCTAATAAATTTCTTAATAAAGTATCCTGAAACGTTTCCACACAAAGTTTCCACAAAATTATATTAGACTAATTTCTGAAGGATCATGTGACACTGAAGACTGTGCAATAACGATGCTGAAAATTCAGCTTTGCATCACAGGAATAAATGACATTTTAAATATATTCAAATAGAAATTTTAAATTGTAATAATATTTCACATTATTACTGTTTTTACTGTATTTTTGATCATATAAATGTGAGCAATAAGAGACCTCTTTTAAAAACATTAAATCTTACTGACCCCAAACTTTTGAACAACACAGGTCATTGTAGCACTGAATATGAATCAGCCCGTCTCTCTGTAAACACATCATGTTTTTGTTTCTCATATTTTTTTTCTCATTGTTGTGGTGGCTTCATTCACATGTTCTTAAGAAAAACATTAATCATCTTACAAAATCTTCTGATGGTAAAAGTTGTTGGGAAGTGCATGAAATGCGACTGTTTTGGTCGTTCATTTGAAATTACTCACATTGTTTACAAGTAACTGTTTTATTTTCTTGCCAAAGCCAATTTTATTCACATTAATGACCCTGATGGGAAAGCTCTGGCTATGAAAGAGAGAGTGGTGTATTTCAACTCAAACTAATCTGAATTGCAAAACAAGTCTCATTTCGGCCAAAACCTACTCAAATGAAACCAATAACAAGTTATTGGTTGTAACTGATAAAGAACACCAGGCATGGTTTGCTCCCTTCATTCAGATTCTCCAAATTCAAAGCGAGTCTGCACTCTCTCTTCCTGTCAGGCCCGTCCACCACCAGTCCACGGCTTCTAACCAAGAGTCTGTCCCTTGAGCCAGGCCCCTGCCTCGGAGCCCACGAGACCCCACAGCGCCTCTGCTCTGACCCTGGACCCCTGGAAGCACAGCACTGCAATGGCACAAGTGAGAACGGACCTCAGGACGTCCCGCCTCCACCCACTAAAACACGCCCACCTTTACCTGGGCCAAAGCCTCAAGGTACGTTCAAAGGGATAGTTGAACCAAAAATTAAACTTCTATC